GACCAGCCTGGCCAACATGGTGAAACCCCATCTCTACTAAAAATACAAAAATTAGCCGGGCATGGTGGTGTGCGCCTGTAATCCCAGCTACTCGGGAGATGAGGCAGGAGAATCGCTTGAACTCAGAAGACGGAGATTGCAGTGAACCAAGATCATGCCATTGTACTCCAGCCTGGGCGACAAAATTGAAACTCCATCAAAAAAAAAAAAAAAAGCCAGTTAGCCCTCGCCAAACACTTTTTCAATATAAAATAATTTTATCATCATTTTTGCATCTGTCTTCTGTTGAAAATTTGGAGATTGCTAAGGCAAAACAGTATAACATACACTTCATGGTGAGGAGAGATGTAAATATCAAATAAATGAATGGATTAGTGAGTCAATGTCTCCATCAAAGTCAGATGTAAGAAAGCAGTGAGTAAAAACGTAATCTATTCTTGCTAGAGCTGTTTTGTGTACAAATACGTTAAACCATTTGTGTTTGCAGCAATTTTCTCAGAAAAATGATAATATTTTAAAGGTTGCCATAAAGGCAAGTCTGTCACTCGTGGTGGTGTCAGCCTTGCCCATCACTGGCTCCTCAGCAGAAGGAGAGGAGGTCTTCTATTTTTGTGCAGTTAAAATAGAAAAATTATTCAAAACATTTCCGGCAGCACACTCTGGGCAGTCCCATGCACTGAGGTAATCCGCTTTTGCAAGTGACTGACTTTACAGTGACCTTTGGGAACTGCTTATGCACAAACGCTTGCAAGACAATGGCAGTTACTTTGATAAGGGCTGTTTGGTATAAAGCGGCCTCCTGCGGACCTCACTGCTCCTGGAACCCAGGGCAGGTGCGCGGCACGAGCCGCTCCTACCTTCTCATCGGTCACACCATCATTGTCGTCGTCATCATCACAGGCATCGCCAATCCCGTCCTTGTCAAAGTCTTCCTGCCCAGAATTTGGCAGATGGGGGCAGTTATCCTGCAATTAGAGAAGGAAGAATACTTGGAAAAACATTCAGGAAAGCAGGAATGCAGGAATGCAGGTGAAATGAAACCAGCGTGGCTCTGAGGAAGGAAGCGTCCCCCGTCTGTCCTCGATCTCGAGTGGGAGCTAAGAGAGGAGCCAGGAGGCCAGAGGCGCATGGATTTCTTCTCAACTCCTGCCCTGGAAATTATGTCACCACTACTCATGAGGGAGACAAAAGAAACTAGTGTTCGGAGCCCAGGATCCCAGTGAGGTTGCCAAACAACGGCAGAAACAAGAAGAGAATGACAAGGTATTGCTCTGAGAGAACATGGGGGAGAAAAGAGGCCTAGTGGCGCTTTCCTTCCCACAGACTTCAGCTCATAAATCAAAATGCCAAAGCTTATAAACGTTTAACCCTCACCAGCCAAAAGATCTCAAAGAAAACAGTCTTTCAAATATGTATGTGATATGTTCAGAAACCAGGGCTGAGAACTTGAAATTATCTGCTAACTCAGCTCTTCACGATGAGTGGGTAATGCATGTAATAGGGCAAAAAACTCATTTCAGTTCAGCCCAATTATACCATAATTTAAAGCTGAGTTGTACAGACACTAACAACTCGAGGGAACTGGAAATCTAGGAAAAGGTAGAGAGTAGAGCATCTGTTTCAGTTTCCTGAACACGTGTACAAGAGCCCCAACGGGTGTCTCCTCCCCGTGGCTCAAAGTGCATCACTCATTGAATCAGAAAACAGAACGTGGAGTCGTGTCCTGGAGCCCAGAGTTTCAGCACTCGCAGATCAAGAAAGGACAGCATGTTGCTTGTCATGGAGGACACGGATCCCAGATGGGGGCCCCTGGCAATGGGGAGGATCCAGCACCTGTGTGTCAGGTGAATATGGGAACAGGCACGGGGTCCCTTGTCAAGTCTCTCTTTTAAATTATTTTGTGTGTGTGAGTGTGTGTGTGTGTGTGTGTGTATATATATATTTTTTATCTATTTTTGTGCAGTTAAAATAGATAAAATTATTCAAAACATTTCTGGCAGCACACTCTGGGCAGTCCCATATATATACACACACACACACACACACACACACACACACACACGTAACTTTGTAAATTATGTACCATTTTCAAAATTATTAAATTTCCATCTAAAATTCCACAACAATGGAAAGAATAATCGGGATATCTTCCAGCAGCATGGTCTCAGCTACAGCTGACTTTCTGAAATCAGGGGCTTCAGGAAGTGTAGGCTGGGTAGGCAAGGGGTGTAACATAGGTTGGGATCAGTGCCTCATTGATTTTAAAACATATTCATATTTTGTTTCAGTATTTTCAGTCAGTATTTGCCATCTTTAGTCAAGAGGGACTGAAAGAGAAATTTCAGTCAGTATTTGCCATCTTTAGTCAAGAGGGACTGAAAGGGAAAATTAACACAAATTCACAAGTGTGATTAAATGTTAAATAAAAATGAATATAGTTATATTTTCAAGTGGTATTTTGTGTCAGTTTGTGGCATTTCCATGTCTGACTTTCTTAAGGCATAAAACTGCAGTAACACATTTTGGGGCACCCTGTGCGGTGGACTGAGTGGTGGTCCCCACTGTGGATGTCCACGTCGTAATGTCTGGAGCCTGGGAATGTCACCTGATATGGCTGAAGTGAATTTCATCTTATATGGTAACAAGTGCAATTAGGTTAAGGACTTTGAACAGAGAGGCTCATCCTGGATTATCTGGGTGGGCCCTAAACACAAGCACAGGTGTTCTTATCAGAGAGAGGCAGAGGAAGCTTCGGGAGAGAAAGGCACTGGAGAAAGTGGTATGAAGACAGACCAGAGGTCAGGGTGATGCAGCCACCAGCCCCAGAAGCCCAGCGACGGCTGAGCCAGAGAAGCTGGGAGAAGCAGAGGGAGCATGGCCCCGCTAGCACCATGACGTCGTGTTTCTGGCCTCCAGAGCTGCGAGGTAACAGATTTTTGTTGTTCTGAGCCTCCTGGACCGTGGTGTTCGTTCCGGTGGCCACAGGAAAGCGGTCCAGCCTGTGATGGGCCCCGAAGGAGCTCCTTCTCCCAGCCAGCTGAGCTGCTCCTTATACCGCAACACGCCTGGGCTTTGGGAAGAAAACCACGTCCTAACTCTTTCCAAGTGACAAAGCCTGGCCAGACCTGCCTGAGACACAACGGCCTCGGCACAGCCTGGAGCTGAGCGTGGAGCCGGCGGCGTCCTCCCTCCACTCACACTTTCAGGTGATGCGATGCACACAGCTGCAAATATGGGCCAAGGTGCCTGCTGTTCTCTGGTGCCCAGCAGCGGGCAGTGCCAGAGTGTGGCTGTGTCTACTAAGGACACCCAGAAAGGGGACCGGGGGGACGCATTCAACCTGGTGATCAGGCAAGAGGCCTTAGAGACGCTCCCTCCAAATGCACCAGGCTTCGAAATTCGCTGTGCTCCCCCCCTCGACGTAGCGTCCCTGGCACCAGGAGGAGGGCTGACCGCCATGGCCCTGGGTGCCCTGCGAGCCCCGCGCCTCACCTTGATGCAGTGGTAGGTGGCGTTGGTGGCGCAGACCAGGTTGAGGTTGGGCCAGCCGTCCAGGTCCGAGTCCTCCCCGCAGATGAGCCCGTCGCCCGCGTAGCCTGTCTGGCACTCGCACTTGTACATGGGGTCGCTGAAGTGGCCCAGGTAGATGCACTCCGCGTGCTTGTGGCAGTTGTGTGTCTTGTCCTTGCATGGGTTTTCGGGCTCACACACCTAAGGGGAGAAGGGCTGTGTGGTTAGTGACAGGCAGGACGATGGCTCTGGAAGCGTCGAGGCGGGACGTTGGACACCGCAGCCCCCAGCAGGCCCCGTCCCAAGCAGACCCAAGTCCTGAAGTGGGAAGGGCTTTCTGGACGTGCACTGCAGGTGCCATTTGTTCCTGAGGCTCTGTGAGTGACTCAGTCATCGTTTCTGAGCCTTGGCTGCAGCTCACCAAGGGATGCCGCTAATAGCTGAGAGGTTGTGGCCTGACCTTCACAGGCCCCACCTGAGCACTCAGCCCTTCACCCCGCACTGAGAGGAGCGGCCAAGCCGTGTCGGTGCTCAGCTTCCCCGGGCCAGCCCCTCCCGTGTCTCTCCTGGGCCACACCACCCCTTCCTCTCCTTTCTCCTGCTTCTTTTGCGAACTCATTTGATTTTTCCAAAGCCTCCACAACACACAAGGAAGGCCGGCCTTGCGTACTTGCTTTTCCGTCTTGGCTGCCTCCAGGCCAACCCCAGTGGGCTGGCTCCCTCTGTATCGGGGTGGGCAGGGCAGGCAGTGGAAGCCGGGCTGAGTGTTGACACAGCGAGGCACCTTGCTGGTGGAGAAGCAGATGTCGGGGACCAGGGCACACTGTGGGGACAAGCAGACATGAGAGGCTGCTCCTGACCTCCAGGGCACCCACAGCCCAGGGCGGGGTCACCCACCTCGTCCAGGTCCTCACAGTGGGTGCCATTACCCAAGAAGCCCACAGGGCAGGAGCCGCACGACCAGGACCCATCGGGGAAGCTGCTGCACTGGGCTCCCGGGAAGCAGGGGTTGGATAAACAGCCATCTGGGTGGGAGAAGGTGCAGCAGAGTTAACCACGCACCCTGCACAGCACAGAGGGAAGGCCGCCCTGTGTGCTGTCAAACACTCTGGATGTCCTTGTCATCAAACTGTGTAGTCAGGAATACTGCGGTGTGATTCTGGATGAGCATCTAGGGGCGTCATTTCCAAGAATGCATTGCTCAGCTGGACACAGTGCAGTGGGTTACAGAAGCACACGCACACTATGACTACACGCCACGGGCCACACCACACAGCTACCCACACGCCACCTTCCACACCACCCAACTACCTACGTGCCACATTCCGGACCACACATCTACCCACACACCACCTTCCACACCGCACAACTACCTACATGCCACATTCCAGACCACACAACTACCATGTGTCACATTTCACACCACACCGCGACACACGCACCATGTTCCACACCACACAACTACCTACACACCATGTTTCACAACACACAGCTACTCACATGTCACGTTTCACACTACACAACTACATATTACATTCCAGACTACACATCTACCCATGTGCCAAGTTCCACACTGCACAGCTACCCACATGCCATGTTTCACAACCCACACGCCCCGCTCCGGATCATATCACAGTTTACATGCCGTGTTTCACACCACATAACTACCCACATGCCACATTCCACCCTGAACAACCTACGTGCCATGCTCCAGACCATAGAACTACCTACATACCACATTCCAGACCACACAACTACCCACGTGCCATGTTCTACACTGAACAACTACCTACATGCCATGTTCCAGACCATACAACTATCCAGATGCCACATCCCAGACCACACAACTATCCATGTGCCACATTCCATACCATGCAACTACCCACACACCATGTTCCATACCACATAACTATCTACATGCTATGTTCCCAGCCACACAACTACCCAAATGCCACAGTCTACACCACACAACTACCCAAATGCCACAGTCTACACCACACAACTACCCACTTTCCACAGGCCACACAACTACCCACATTCCACAGGCCACACCACACAACTACCCACATTCCACAGGCCACACCGCACAACTACCCACATTCCACAGGCCACACCACACAACTACCCACATACCACATTCCACACCACACGACTACCCATATTCTACAGGCCACACCATACAACTACCCACATTCCACAGACCATGCCACACAACTACCCACACACCACATTCCACACTACACAACTACCCACATTCCACAGACCACACCACACAACTACCCACATTCCACAGGCCA